TGAATTAAAGCAAGCAGTACTGTATTCATACAACTCTTTTAAATGAATGTCTTAAGCTTGGCAATGTTGATCTTGAGTTTGTAATAAATATACTCTTTTTGTCTTGGTATTGGCTGCAATTCGAATTGCTACTTTCACTCTTTAAATATCAGCATCAACTTTTGTCATCTTTCACATATTTCACAAAATAAAAGTACATTATTTTATCCATCAACTTTAATCAAGACCTGTAGTCACTGGGATAGAATTCCATTTAGTCGATAACGCAGGAATTACAGAAAAATACATAATGTTCAAAAAGGAAATGGTTGACCCACTCAATTTTAGGAACTTAATATTGCAAGAGATGTTACGTTTTGAGTTGTATTATTGACATTGGAGCTATTGTGTTAAGTATAATTATATGAACTAATGTGAAACTAATGATTCTGCGATGCTCGATTCTCAGATTATGAAGGTAATATTACAGTACCTGTGTTGTGGGACAAGAAGACGTCAACTATTGTAAACAATGAATCAGCTGAAATATTAAGAATGCTCAACACTGAATTTAATGAGTTCTGTGCAACAGATAAGCAGAAAAAAATTGACTTCTATCCCAAAGACTTGCAGGGGAAGATTGATGAATTGAATGACTGGATTTTCCCGTAAGTACTGTAAAATGACTAATTTTCACTGGGTTTAAATTTCGCTGATTTATCATTTCAGGCATATACATTGGGTTTTAAATTCAGGGTTTTATCATTTAGATAATGTGTTCTATGCTAAATGTTACATATTCACTGTGTTTTAATTTAGCGCATTTTCTAGTCAGCGAAATAAGCAAAATTAAAACCCAGTGAATAATTAACCCCTTCACAGCATTTTGTTTATCCATGCTGAGATAACAAATTTCTGCCACCAGATGGCGCTCCAACTCTCTGAGTGTGATAAATGTAAATCTGTCAAAATGCTTGGGAAATTTGTTTTTATTATTGTGATATCAGTCTACTTGTGGCCTTTATCAAAATAAACTCACATCATTTATTTTAGGTTATTTCAATAATTTCTTGCAGACCCTGTAGCAATTAAGAAAATATTGCTAATTGAACCAAAATTTCCCCAAAAAATTATAGGAAAAAAATGTTCCACCAAAATAGATGGCCTTAAGAAAAAATAATATTTCCTGTACAATTGCATCCACTTGTGTAGTGATGTTGGCATTTCAAGTAACCTGCTTCTGATCATTGACTTTCAGTAAAATCAACAATGGCGTTTATCGTGCTGGATTTGCTACAAAACAGGCAGCGTATGACACTGCTGTACATGAACTATTTGAAGCTTTAGACAAGGTAAGCAACCCCGATATTGATATTAATTAACACTAATTAACATTACCATTTGTTATCTGTCACATAATAAAACTACTATTGTTAAAATTTGTGATCAAGACCTGTGGACACTGGAAAATGTTGTCAACCTGCTTCTACATGTATCTTAAAGTAATTAACAGAAAAAATGTGACAAAGTTATAGGATGTCACAGTATAATCATATTTTCTGTGATCACTTTTGAGCTGAAAGCCATGAAAGGAACAGAGAAAGATATTTTCTATGGAAGTTGAGGCGAAAATGTCTAACCACAAAGTTTCAATCCAGTAATTAGTTCTTTGGTTAATTGTTTTCAAATTAATATATATATAGGATTTCTTCTTTTTTCTTGACTAGGTTGAGGATATTTTATCTAAGAATCGTTACTTGACTGGAGATCAACTGACTGAGGCTGATATCCGTCTTTTCACTACATTGGTGAGATTTGATACAGTATATGTAGGGCATTTCAAGGTATGTGAATATAACTGCTATTATTTATTACTGACTGAATAAACATTTTTCGTAGTGGCAAACTAATGGCCTCCTGTGGTTGAGTACAATTGCCCATATTATATAAGATACGACTGTATATAAAGCATACAATTAGAGATTTGGAAGTTATTTTTTACCCTGTCTGTGTGTGCGTGTGCGTGCGTGCACGAGTTGAATGAATATTATCTATTACAGATGAACTATCTCACATATCACCAGTTAACAAAACCCCAACCAAACTGAATGAATAAAAATACTCCATACAAGTTGCAACAATTGATAAATTAAGGGTATGCTGAAGGCTATAAAATACCCTGGATGTTCTGACCAATAAACCATATACATGTAATGTGTATCGTTGGGGGGCGGAGTGACGTCGCAGAATGTTCTATATTGCTAAGACACGCCCACCTTTACCATGTATATCTATGGGCTCTGCGTATCGGTCGAAGAGCCAGTGAAAACGGCTAAAGTCAAGGAAACACAAACTCAACTTTCTAATAATCCTGAGCAGTCAAATTTATATTTCTTGCACATGTGGGGGGTAATCTTGTTACCTGTTCAGGGGAGTCTCAACAATTATCTCAGTATTTTTCCCGAGAGTTTTTGGTCTCTTGTTTTGACCGTGATGGTTGCAAGGCGGTGACAATGCCAGGATGTCCGCCCCCAAGAATAGAACTTAACTGCAAATTGCCATGGTTACACAGAATAATATAAAATGTGGACGAAATGACAAGAGAGTAAATTATACGGTGAAGAACTATGGTGTGGTAGAATCGCCAAACGTAATGCAATGGCCAAAATAAAGTACAGTCACCGACCTTGTGGTTGGGTTCTTTACCCCCAAAATACACAATGTAAATAATGTAAAGATATATTGATATTGGTATATGATCATACACAGTAATGCCAGGGTAGAACTTTGGAATAGAACACGCACACCCACAACAAACATGAACTCACTTCAAGAAACACAAGTATATGTGGTCAACGAAATATTTAATATAGAATAATCTCAAATAACATTTGTAATGCAAATCATCAAGTTTGACTACAAATAATTAAAGCAACAATTACATTATCATTTAAATGCAAATAACCATGGTTAATGCCCTAAACAACATAATCAGTACGTAATCTGAAAATACAAGTAAATAACGTTTCATGCTGTCACTTGTAGACTGTTAACATCAGTCACTGTACCATAACGACGAATGCAGTAACGTAGAAATAACAGTGCAACGTCAGAAGCTACTTAGCTTTTGTAGTTGACTCCGTTCCATGCACACGATTTAATGTCTTGATGTTGGTTTGACAATCTCCTAGGAATTTTGTCTCGATGACGGTGTGACAAACAAGTTGCAGCACGGCTATGGAGACACAGCTACTATAGCTGGTAGAAGCACATGTAGTTGACCATGCGGTTTCCAACCCAAAGTATCAGGAACTGGCAACAAACTTCTCAAGATGTTAACTGTGACAGGCAGCAGGGAGAAGTGATCCCTTTGTTTCACGCCATGTGACAAGTTAATTTATTCAGGAAAGTTCCATTTTCGGATGGGTTAGTCACACCCATAATAGTGTCAAATACAGCGCAATCTCTGGCCAAACTAATTAAACTTAATTAAACTGTAAAAATGTACACTCCAACAATTAAAGTGAAATTACTGATAAATGACCCTGTGACACATGGCTATTGTCAATTTCCTATTCACACATTTCATATTTTTGGGGAGCATATGTCATGGTCAAATTTACACACACACATACCAAATCTTGTTCAATTCATTTTCTCTGAAAAAAGGGAATCCACATTTCTCAGTTGTATTACATAGATCTAGCTGCTATCTTTTAAAAACTGTTTCGAATATGCCATTCACTTCTGCTGTTGCATTTTTTTATTTTTTACTTTTTATATTTCTGTCCTACCCTCACCCATTGCTAGGTGGGTTACACATGTGCAAATAGAATTACATCATGTCTGACATTAGTTCAAGAACCGGCGAATTGACCTGTACGTCCTGCATTATCGGTGCAATAATTGATTACACAGCAGTTCTTCTCTGTGGTGACAAGCGATATAACAATTAAATAGGTTAACATGCAGACAATAATATGATCTATTTTTCTGACCATACCACATTTTGTATACAGTCAAACCTGTGTTAACGACCACCTGTGCAGAGCGGCCACCTGCTCATAGCGACCACCTCAGTACAGTCCCTTCGCAATTTACACGTTAAAGACACTGGATATAGCGACCACCTGTCCAACGCGACCAGCGACCACCCTATTGTAGACCTATTCACACTTTAACCTTTGTATAACGACCACCAACATGTCCATCAGACGGTCTCAGCAAAAAGACAATAGCTACTTGCGAATCGCTAACAGGAAAGTGGCCATATGTTACGTTCAGATTACCGAGTACGCAATCTGTAGACAGGGGTGACAATCGCAACTTGGATTGTGAAGTTGCAAAAAAGTAAAAAAAAAAAACAGTTGAATATCATCTGAATGTAACGTCTGGAGACTGGAAAGATTTTAACAACAAATTAAAACAGTTTCATTCAAAGTTGGAAATGAAAAACTAGCTTGTTTCCGATCGGTACTACCCCGGTATACTATCGATCCCCAGCCGGCCAGCGGCACTTCTGTGGACTGTCTCGCCAGGGAGCTCCCTGGTCTCGCACATGAAGAGCACATTCCTCCCGTCCCGAAAACAAGAAAAATGAACCAGTTTAATTTAATGAGAGATGTTTTATTTACCCTGTCGACATGAAATACCCGAACAAAATAATAAAACATTCGTTTATTTCGTTCTCATCGCGGGATTGCAAAATCCGACCTATTTTGGCCGCCATGTTGTTTGTTGTTGATCGTTATAAATTATGCTAATGAAGCTAGCGCATGGGCAAAACTGAGGGGTCATCTCGGGGTTATTCTCAACGAAAAATGATTTCTATTTTGATCCTCTTTTTTTATAAACGGTAATATCAATAATTCGAGAAAAATTCATTTCGTTTGGGCAGTTTTGATACGTCGATGCTTGCAACAAATAACTGTAAAATTGCGTGTACGATCATCGTGTTTCATTTCCGGTTCGTTTGACTTTCTGATTCAACGCCGAGAGTTGGAGCAATCGTTACGAGTTTGGTAAATTTTGTTTATTACCAATGCTTCTTCATTTTTAATGCTTGTTTGTTTGTTTTTTCAAACACGGCAACTTTGCCTGTGCATTTTGTCACAGTGTACAATCGACAATACTAACGATGGGACTGATTACCGCCTGTGATGGGCTGGGGAATAAGACTGCATGGCGAGAGTGTGAAAGTCCGAGCTGAAACACCAATGCGGCCGATCGTTGACAATCGTTCTTATGCATTAAATACACCAATGAATCCATGGGCAGAATCACTTGGTTTCAGTGAATTTACATGATATAATTTGTTGTAAAAAAGTAAAGCTGTGTAATTAATTATCCAGATGAAAATGAGTGACTTATTAAAAAGACCAATTCATTGTAGTTTGTTTTGCTTATGATCTCCCTTAAAATTCCCACCCTAATTAATATTCATGAATAAATTAGCCACCTCCATATAAAGACCACCTGTCTATAAAGGACAGTTTGGCTCAGTCCACTGACTGTCCTTTATAGACAGGTTTGACTGTATTTCAAATAAAACAGTTCTTCAAGTCAAAGCAAACATTGATTTCAAATGAATGAATTTCACTGGTAAGTTTGATGATGTTGCTGATTACGTTGGATAGGTTTGGTTCCCTGATATATGTAACTCCTGAATCAAGTGATTAGCATAGGCACCATCATTTGCATGTGTGTCGTTCTGTTGATTTCCCGCCATGTCATCAGGCTCCTATTTGGGACATTTGCTCATCATAATTATTGTCTATTTTTTGTTTAAATAAACTTCTTCGCCCCTTTCGTAATAGACACAATCTAAACTGAATTGCATTTTATCTTAAATGTTTAACATTTAGTTTCAGATGATGATTTTTTTGGTTTTCTTTTTTCTGCATAACTCAATCTCTAAATTATAGTCACTGAATCTAAACTTTCCACACACCATTCAGCAAAGGCAGAATTCCTTATTTATTACAAAATGGATAATTTTGTGGTATTTTTTATTTACGAGTAGACTTCTTCATGTAGAATTTATCAGACTTTCTGTTTACTTTGTAAGGTTCTGTAGATAAAGTGCTATTGTGGACAGTGCTTCACAATTATATCCCCAAAACATTATGTCATATGTCAGGCATTGTGTATCAACTGCTGATGAAACATTTCACACATTTAAGATTGTTTATTCTTTCCACAATTTTACATTCTTTAGTGTAACAAGAAGCGAATCTTAGATTATCCAAATATGTGGGGTTTTGTTCGTGATATTTATCAGACAGGTTGTATAGCAGAGACTGTGGACCAAGAACATATACAAAACCACTATCAGGTAGGAAACTAATATTGTATACAGTGTCTGGTAGCTTTGTTGTGATTGGTCAAATGTAAACATGTGATTGTATGCATGTTGTGATTGGTGGAATGTCAACATGTGGTATGATGGGATGTATGGTATGTTTAAATGATTGTATTATGATTATTCAGTTTTGATCAAGTAATGATATGATCATGGAAAAATGTCAGCATGGAATGTTATTGTGTGATTGTATGTACGTTGTGATTGGTCAAATGTGAATG